AGATAAGTTTGGTCGCAGACACCATTGTTTGCAAAGACCCAATTATAATGCTGATTGCTATAATTTGCACACATTATGATATCATAATTAATCGAATCCTCAACAGAATGCAAAAAGCACTGGACGGCCGTTTCGTCCTATTTTGGGGACTCATCAGCAGTGCGCATCCGCTACCGAGAATCGAAACCCGGTCCGTGACGATATGTTACCTCACTGTCACCGAGATTTGTTACATCTCCGTCACAGAGGCCCGTTGGTTCAGTGGGTATGACACTTGCGGGTTCGATTCCCGGTAGTGGATGCGAACTGCTGATGAGTCTCAAAAATAGCACGAAATAGGCGTCTAGTGCTTCTTGAATTCTGTTGATTCTTCTAGACTCGATGAATTACTTAATTATATATATATATATGTGTGTGCATATGTGTGTGTGTGAACTAATTATGATTATTCAAATCCCCCTTAATTTATATATATATATATATATATATATATATATATATATACAAATTATATTAATCAGCATTAATTACTATCACTACGTCTGCATATGCCACGTGGGGAAACTTATATGGAACCCCCACTCTAATTCCCCATGCACTTTGATCTATCGTGGCGGATTGACCAATCTATCTGCGATTCGTCTTGCTGTAGATTTTGTAAAGAGACATGGTAATTTATTCGGACTTACCCGCATATATTTTTGAACTGGTTTAATTTCCAATTTGGTAATGGTTTAGCCGCTATGTCTTGCACATTGGCGCCAGGAAGAATTTGCTGGAGACAAGTTGTTGTTCTGGAATAAATTCCATCACTTCCAGGAACCCCGCCTTCGTATAAAGAAAATTATAAGAACAAGAGAAGAGAAGAAAAAAAACAATCCTTGCTTAATGTTCGAATCTGAATTATCCATCAAAATTCTGAACGATTTTATAGAGATGAGGGAAACCAGAGGAAGCAAATGAGAAAATAGACATGAAATAGATTTGACTGAATTTAAAGGAAACAGAATATATAGATTGTACTGTAGTGGGTCTCCAAAGTGGTCAATGTTGGTGATGGCATTATCCAAGTGATCTTGGGGGTTCAAAATGAGGCCGATAAATGCCTAGAAGTCAAAAGAGGTTCGTAGAGTCTTGTGACTAAAACTCACTAATTTCCAACTAAATGTCCTTACTACTGCTCATCCTTCCTGTTAATGATGCTGTAGGCATACAGATGGCGCTTATCTACGTTTAGGGGAGATAAGCCACGTGGGTCACATGACAGCCGTTTAATGACGTCACTTCATATAATGACAGTCAATTTTCAGTTTGTTTATAGCAGTTAAACCGTAAGGTTATTTTCTTTAGCCCGGCCCCCGCCTTGACCTGAGCAGAAGCTAAATCAACCTCCCCCCCCCCAGCAATTTACAATCCATGATGCCATTTCTTTTTAGGAATATATCTTTCCCAGATATAGAATAAAACTCCAGCTCGGAATTGGGGAAAACCCAAGATTCGCTGTTTTCCGTTCCTAGCATATGTCCTCGCCTAGGACATAGATGGATCCGGTCAGTTTGAATCTGGAGTCATAAACATGACTTCTCAAGATACAGGAGTATCTCCATATTATATATAAGTTCCATCCTTTTTTTGTTTCTTCTTACACTCTGCTTCGCTACGTAGGTATATAATATATTATTCTCTGAGTAGGACACGTATAAATATGTATATATAGTTTATGCATGTTTCAGTGATAGAAAAGTCTCTTTGAGAACAAATCATGTTTGTCATTCGTTTTCCATTCAGCCATTCCGTTCCGTCTGGGAAGTATCACGGATATAATAATGCTCATAATGGGGGAAATGCAAATAGGAGAATAAATCTTTGTTCTATAGTTTTCTCCCCTTGCAATATCAATCGATTCAATAAAAAGGGTGTATTGATTTATTTTTAATGTTTATTATTATTACCTGTCTATATTTCTGAGATGAGGTATTATGTATGGGGCAATCAAAAGCACAAAGAAGCGGTGCAAATGTGTACAGAGGGCATAGCTTGGTGCACTCAGATCGAAGATTAACTTTACGGCTGATAGCAGACAAAAATGCATGTGAATATGGAATCAGTGCGGTAGATTCTAATGGACGATTTGGAAATAAGAACAATGTCCTCAAAGATGGTGTCTCAAAGTTTTAAATTTTAAAGAATGGAAAGCACAGATTTGTGAATATAAAGAAAGGGATATGCCGATTTGTGAATTTAAAGCAAGGTATATACGTATTTATGAATATAAAGAAAGTGATACACAGATTTGTAAATATAAAGAAAGGAATATACGGATTTGTGAATATAAAGAAAGGTTTATACGGATTTATGAATATAAAGAAAGAGATACACAGATTTGAAAATATAGAGAAAGGGATTTACGGATTTGTGAATATAAAGAAAGGGATATACGGATTTATGAATATAAATAAAGTTATACACAGATTTTTAAATATAAAGAAAGGGATTTACGGATTTGTGAATATAAAGAAAGGAATATACGGATTTATGAATATAAAGAAAGGTATATACGGATTTATGAATATAAAGAAAGGTATATACGGATTTATGAACATAAAGAAAGTGATACACAGATTTGTAAATATAAAGAAAGGAATATACGGATTTGTGAATATAAAGAAAGGTATATACTGATTTATGAATATAAAGAAATTGATACACAGATTTGTAAATATAGAGAAAGGTATTTACGGATTTATGAATATAAAGAAAGGGATATACGGATTTGTGAATATAAAGAAAGGCGTACACAGATTTGTGAATATAGCTAAAGGGATAACCATATTTGGGAATATACAGAAAGAGATATTGTGAAAATAAAAGTAGTGCAGATGACTGTATACAAAAGAAGGAAATATAAAGAAGAAATAAAGAAAGGAAATCATTTATAAAGGAAAGTCAATGAATATAATGTAAGACTATTGATAATAAAGAAATTAGATAGATAGATAGATAGATAGATAGATAGATAGATAGATACGTACATATGACCCTGGAAGAATTTTTGTCCGGCCCGCCAACTTAACACCTGGACACTAATTATCCCATTCATTTGTGGAGTAAGTTACAGAAACATATCATCAGTTGGAGTTAATCGACTTAAAATGCGACGAATTTTTTAAATCAAAATTTAATTCCGAATACACTGCTGACTTCCACAAGAAATATGTTTTGCCAAGCGGAAAATATTAAAAGCCGATTGAATAATGCTAAATTGATAACATTATTTGGAAGTGCATATGCTTGTAAACAATTTTCTTTTTTTGGAAAATGAAATCTACTAAAAGTTGTTTTTCGAACAAGTTTGGGTGATATCCACCTGGATGATGTTTTGCACCTGTCATCTACAAATATTTCACCTGATGTGAGCAAGTTATCGAACTATAAACAGAAACAAGTGTCTCATTAAATAATTTGCCATTTTTATCTGTATATCGTTTGTAGTAAGGAATTTGCATTTTTTGTTAATCGTTATCCTGTTATTTCTTCAGTAAAATAAGGAACCTTGTTTAAATAATACAATATTAACTTCGTTTGTTGGTTTTTCTTTAAACCTCCAGACCAAGGCAACCTTCTGGACGGAATGGACTGAGGTCGGGACAATTTAATATAGTACATTTGATATCATGGCCCTCCTCCGAGACACTACATAACTGCCTGGCCCACTCTCTCTAAAAGGTTTCTGGCCCCTGTTTAGATAATGAATATTTTCATCTGATTATCCCCTATAGAGCACGAATTTGAACTTAGTAAAACTATCACCCATGTAAATATTAATACCCAATAAATATCTGGGCTCAACTTATACTCGAATACGAACTGTGATGTGTTAGATAAAAAAACATTATTCACTATTTGAAGAATGCTATTTTTTTTTCTCAAATAAATGACTGAAAAAAACTTCCGTTCGCTTCTGCGAAATTAAAGTCTTTCCAAATATTTAGATTTCTTCTGTAAACGACCAATATTTTCCGAATGTTTTCTTTGTCTTTTCATTTCTTTTGCCTTCAAAATCCGGTCATTATTTTCCTGAATAAAAACCTTTGTAGTGGCATTGGGGGGGGGAGCAATGCAAGTTATGGATCCGTCAGCTTGCGTTGAAAATCAGCGTTCGAAATATTAGCTTCTAACTGGGAGCGAACACTGATCACTTACCTACAACAATCTCAGTCACTAAGCTGGCTATCCCTGCATCCAAGATTCGAAGATATTTTTTTAAAGAGGCTCGCCATTCTGGCAAGACACAGCAAGTGATGTTCTTCAGGTTTCACGAGCAAGTGAATTTTTATGGGGCCCAGTTTGTTCACTCGACTCCCAATGTCACCACATGGACTGCACATGACCCATAGCTGGGAGAAGTAGTAGTCATGCATTAGTACCTTTTTTTTTAATCATTCCACCACAAGCAAGAATCTGAGAAAATCTTTAAGGAGGGGGAACAATAAAAGGACAAGAATTAATGATTGACATTGCATTTAAATTTTTGAAAATTAAAGTTGATTGGAAAGCAAAAAGCCAGAAGTGAGTTTCACATGCGAGAAGGACGAGAGAAGAAACTATTAGCATAGAACTTACGGTTACATTTAGCAATTTCAATGGTAAAATGATGTGACCTAACTGCCAATATAGTATTACGCTTAAATTTATAAAGTCACGGTACTAGAGAGGAAAGCTCATCCGGAAAATTACCTCAAAAACATTAATGGAAAATGCAAAAGGAAACTATGCCAGAACAATGGGAATGTAGCTGAAGCTGAGATACCAGGTCAAGACCAATAACATTGCAGATTCTTGGGATTTAGTGAAGAATTTCTAAATACATAGCACAAACACCAGATCATACGTAACATCAATATTCAATGCATGGACGAATGGTAGACTTATAAATGTGTAAGATAGATTCTGGAAAGAAAAAATTGTCTAGCAAGAGATGTAGATAAATACGAACAGAGTCAAATAGATAGATAGATAGATAGATAGATAGATAGATAGATAGATAGATAGATAGATAGATATGGACAGACTGAGATAGATACATAGATAGATAGATATGAACAGACTCTTATATAGATAGATAGATAGATAGATAGATAGATAGATAGATAGATATGGACAGACTGAGATAGATAGATAGATAGATAGATAGATAGATAGATATGAACAGATTCATAGATAGATAGGTAGGTAGGTAGAAAGATATATTCTAGAGAGAAAAATTGTCTAGCAAGACACAGTGAACCATTTTTTCTTTAATATAAAGAGAACATAAACTAGTCCAGCTAGAATCAGAATTTGAGTTGACTCTTGTCCGTCCTGTTATGCCAGCCGCTAATCGTAAAATAGAGACTTTCAAGTATTTTTTCTTTTTCTTTTTGTTTTGTTCTTCACTCCCTCTATTATATACTATCAAATACAAAAAGAAAACCTACAGACTTACCTGTTAAAGGCAGAGCAAACAAAAAGACCGCAAGAACAACGACATCCATGTTTGTTTTTTTCTGACAAAAAATAAATGACTTGCGTCAAGTAGATGGCGAAGTGAACTGTGCTCGGATAAAAAAAAAAACACATTGCTAGATAACACTGACAAACCAAATATCAAGAGAAACCTTTGTAATGCTTAAACAATTTCATATTTAGGTTAATCTTTGCTATTTCCTCTCGTTCACTTAACACATTTGTTTACGACTTGCGAAAACAGCCTAAGGGTTACAAAGATCCTCTGGCAGCAAAGCACTTGAATTCCCAGGTTGAAGGCCTTAGAAATATAGGAAGATTGATTTTAACCAGGAAATAGATTCCAGTCATATGTATAATTCATAAGTATAATTATTTACATTATTCGGACAATTGTTCTCATCTTTGTCGCTATATTTATTACAACGATTCGGCCGTTGTACGCTCCGGCCTTCTTCAGGTGGTTGGAATGTATGTCGAACTGAACCTTTTATTTCGCTCACTGGGGTAGACTGTTCTAGTTTCACGTGCCATGTTTAATGGATGTCAGTTATCTCCTGTTAATTTCCCTCTGAAAGTTCTCCACTGCCTTAAACGGGTATTGAACTCACAAGGGCACATGACACAGTGGATAAAGGCGTTAGTTAGATCCAGTGACAGGACCCAAAGAGTGTGAGTTTGCCTGACATTTGTGTGCCAGTTTCTTTATTGATTATTTGAATAATGTCGTTTTTTGCTTCAGTGATTTCAATTCTCTTGTTTGTAAGGAATTCTGTTCGAATGACATTTGATTAATCTTCATCAGTGAAAGAATTTAAATCAGTGCGATTATTTATGTCGCAGTTAGATTCTTTCGTTTTATTTCATGGGAAGTCATTATTTCGTATCTCATTTATTTTAGTTTGTATCTCATCCTCTGTCATATTATTTATTTCCACTCTTGCCTCTTTTTTGTTTGGCTGATTGTACTTTGTCTTATATTTAGTATTAGCTTATCTACGAGGGGGACCCAAAAGTAACCAGAATTGTGTCATAATTTTATTCATTTATTGTTGCATGTTTATATTCTTATCACCTTCAATGTATTCTCCATTTGAAGCAATGCACCGGTCCAGACATGTTTTCCACTGTTCAAAGCAATCCTGGAAATCTTGTGAAGTTATACTTTTTAATGACTCCGTCGTTTTCTTCTTAACCTCTTCCACATCTGCAAAACATTTTCCTTTCAGGACTTTCTTCATTCGGGGGAACAAAGTAAAAGTCTCGGGGGGGGGTCGAGATCGGATGATAAGCGGGGGTGGGGTGGGGGTCATGCCATTCTTGGTCAGAAACTGTCTCACACTCAAGGCTGTGTGCGCTGGCGCATTGTCGTGATGCAACCACCACCCTCCACTTTGCCACAGGTCAGGACGTTTTCGTCTCACCTTGTCTCGCAAACACTTCAGGACATCCAAGTAAAAAGCCTGGTTAACAGTTTGACCAGGACGAACACATTCTTTGTGGAGAATTCCTTTCACATCAAAGAAACAAATCATCATCGTCTTGACATTGGACTACACTTGAAGCGCTTTTTGGGGTCGTGGTGACGTTGGATGCCTCCACTGACTTGATTGCTGCTTCGTTTCCGGATCGTAGCCATAGCACCAGCTTTCGTCACCAGTGATGACCTTCGAAAACAGATCTGGATCAACTTCCAACTGTTCTTTCAGTTTACGACAAGCATCCTTTCAGCCATGGTAAAAATAGACGAAAAGGCTTGAAGCACTTCAAAATAAATGTGAACCACGGAACTGTACGTCTTCCCACGATGCCACCAGTTAGCACACTGATGCCTGTGGGTTGCCTCAAGTGACATCTAGCGGTGGAAGCCTGAACTACTACGGGCTTGTCACACATAAAACGATTCCGGTTACTTTTGGGTCCCTCTTCGTATTTCTGCATTTGACAGCCTTTTATTTCACATGATACTCCTGAAGACATAAGAAAGAATATTAGGTTCTTGTTTCAGTTCCTACCATATCTCATTTGGTATGTCTGTTCTGTGACGTTCTTTTGTGGATTTTCCAATGCAATGAAAAAAACATCACATGACTTGTTTATCCTCTTCGCGATTTCATTTCGGCCGCTTCCTTTTTATTAATTGATTTGGCATTATATAAAACAGGTACAAGATTAGAGTTAATCCAGTTTTGGTGACTAGGTGTCTCATTGTTGTTGGAAGAGTTTGTTCCAGTGAAAGATTTTTCGGACCCAGACAAGTTCCTCTGCCAGACACGCGGCCCTTGATGACTCCTGTGACGACCGACTCGGTATGGGTATTTGTTTGTAAGCATTCAGATTTCTTGCATTATTTACATTATTCGGACTGTTATCCTCGTCTTCCTTGTCATATTCACAACGTTTCGGCCTTCTTCAGGTGATTACAAAATAAAGGGTTCGGTTCGAAATTCCCATCACCTGAAGAAGGCCGGAGCGTATAACGGCCGAAACGTTGTGAATAATGGCAATGAAGAGGATGATAGATTTTTTTTTTTTTTTTTTTTTTTGTTTGTTTGTTTTTTTGTTGTTTTTTGTTGTTTTTTTGTTTTGTATTTTGTTTCTTTAGCGTTTCATCCTTGACAGCCAAAGGGTCATTTTGTTCCAGCTGCAACTTCTAGGATGACTGTCGACCAAAACCAAATAGCTCGCCCTGCCCATGCAACACAGGAGTTACTTTCATATGTCTAGGGTTGGTGGGGGTTTTATCTAGTATCTGCATTACGGGTTGTAACTTAGGAGTGTGACAATGATATTAACTATAATAAGTTTTAACTTAGTATATGTCGAAATACCCATTACCTGATGAACGGTGAGAGGCGGATTAAGATTAGGATTGTCACATTAAAAAGTAATACAAAAATATTATTATTATTATTATTATTATTATTATTATTATTATTATTATTTCCTTTGATTTGTGGTGTCTACTCATTTCTTTCCGGGTCCCGACCAGAGGCCGAAGGTCAGAAATGGCATCATGTCATTTTCCACTTAGCGATTAAAAACAAAAACATATTTTACATAGATAAAGCTCAATCGTAAGGTGTGGTCTGTACTTGTGACAACAACTTTTTGTATTTCTTTAAGGCCTGGGCTACTAGGAATCCCTTCAATGGGTCTATTGAAATCTTTTCCAATTAATCCGAGGGCTCCAACTACAACTGAAATTGTTGATGTTTCCATGTGCCACATTTTTGTGATTTCCATTTCAAGGTCCTTGTATTTTGATAGTTTTTTGAAGATCTTCAAAGATACATTGCAGTCTGCAAGGACGGCCATATCAATAAGGAGGCATTCTTTTTTTGTTTGTTTACGGTCTCTAATAATGATATCTGGCCGATTAGCTTTCATTGTTCTGTCTGTGTGTATTGTGAAGTCCCATAAAAGTGTTACATCTCCGTAACCGGGTCTGGGTGATGTTAATACCAATTATTATTATTATTATTATTATTATTATTATTATTATTATTATTATACTTTATTCTTTCACACGGTTTTTCATTTTTGCCCTAAGATTTGACTTGCCTGCCTTATAAATATTCTTCATCATGAACAGAGATGAGCAATGTGTCAGTCCCTAGTAGGGAGTTTATACCCGATTGGTTGAGTTCAGGCAACTCACAAGCCAACCTGTAGTACCGAACGGGATCTTTATTGTAGCCCATCTTAATACACGAAGGCAAAACATGTACATGTAAAAACTTCCAATCAATTACTATCACAAGCCATGAGAGCCATGCCTGATGTAGCATCAGGATATTCATTATTATTATTATTATTTGTGAGAGTGACATGCCAAGTCAAATTGACTCCCAATATAGGAAACACAATCTACCGCTCATTACAACTAGTTTGATAAAGGTATACCAAGCACATGCGTCACAGCCAAATGGACGCAGTAGGGTGGCGATTTTTCTGAAAAGCATCGCATAACCTCACAGGCTTGACCGTATCTTTTGTTTGCGGTTTTTCATAACGATGTCCGGGCGATTAGCTTTGATTGTTCTGTGTTTATTATTATTATTATTATTATTATTATATCAAATACTATTGAGTTTCAAATAGACTGGCAGGACGATTATTCTTTTTCATAGAAAAATCCACCGGGACTCCCTTTTATTCAAACCTTACCCCCTCTTAGAAAATATTCAGTAAATTTCCTCCCATTCCTTAATTTTAGTTGCAAGTATCCTGGGACAAAGCGTTTCATTACTGAAAATTATTTTCAAAATAAATAAAATTCGAACAATCCCTTTTTTATTCTATCCCGTCGATTTGAAAATCAAGTGTAATGGCAGCTTTATTCGTCAGACATACATATCAAAATTAAAAGTCTTTCTTTCACGCACACTTACACACACACACACACAAACACATATATGTACATACACTGATAATTTAGAACATTTTCAATCATGCCTATCGCACCCCTGAGTTCAAAGGGCATGTATTTGCCAAAATTACAATCCAGTCTATTAAGTAATTTTTCTTCCTTAGAATATGAGAGAGAAGGAAGAGAAAGAGAGAAATGTTTTCACTATGTTAAGATAAGTATATCATTAATACGATTACATTATTTATGGCAATAGGAGAAAGGTTATTATCATTATCTGATTATGAACAGCAATACAATTATCATGTGATTGCCAATAAAAGACGGTGGACGATTTTTGCTTGTTATCATTATTCAACGACGTTTTCGTTTTA